TTTCAATCATATTTAGAATAAAATCAATATATGCACTAAAATCAGTACTAGATATCGTAAAAAAGTTAAATTTGAAATATAAACAACAGTTATTTATACAATAAAAAATGCTCTTCCTCAGTAAAACATTACTTAAAATGTGACAGTTGCCATTGAGAGAGGATATTTCAACATAAATATGCAACAGTAGCATAAGCAATTTACAGAGGGTTTTATAAAACATTCGATAGGGAATCTCTTTCAACATAAGATAGTAGTAAACTTTATTTGTTAAGTATGTATATAATATATTGTTAATAAAATAAATGTTTTTGTTTGTTTCCTTCAAATCTGACCAGAACCAAAAACCCTATTAAGGTCAGATTCGTATTTAATACGTTCGATTTGTCCGTTGTCATCTTTTCGGGCAAAAATTTTACCAGACCTGGTCCAGATAAATTTCCATTTCAGACGGCGTCCCAAATCTCGTGCTTTGGCGAAGATCTGACGATTGTAGCGAGTGAGGTGCTCATTTACATAAAAACGGCGGGCCTCACCTGCCAACCCGAAGCCCTCAGTGGTGGCGCCACGACGAACTCGCGCCGAGCGCAGCATGTCATCACGCAGCGCGCGGCGCGCAAATCGCACCACGATGCGCCTGGGGGCCGTATCACCCTCGCCGGCGGTACGGTTTCGCCGCACTGCTCCAACCCTCTCAGCAAAAACCACATCACGGTCATCCAAGGTGACACCCAGCTTCCCTGCCGCAGCCTTGACCAGGTGGATGACATTCTCCCCCCTAGCCTCGAGCACACCAGACAGCACAACATCATCATGCAACATGTCTTGGTCACGTTCATTTATTTGTGACCTAAGGTCCTGAATAATGGACTCATATGAGTGGTTTGAAGTTGAGGTCTCAACCAACTTCTTTTCAAGCAAGGTGACCCGCTCGTCGGTGCTGTCAACCCGTACGTTAAGGTTTTCCAGAGAGCTACGAAAACCTGCAATCTCCGTTCTGTAGTCCTTAAGCTCACTCCTCATAGCTGTTATTTCATTCCGGAGAAAGCGCATTTCAGCTACAAGTTCACTCAGCTCCGCCGACTTGTTGGTGGGCGTGACTTCATTATCACTGCCACAGGCTATGGTATTGGCAGTATCCCTGGTACTAACGAGAACCCTCGATTGTGCAGGTGTTACAGGGACCGACGAAATGTTGCCCTGACGCGGTGGTTTTATCTTGCAATTCGAGCACACCCAATTGCTAGGCACGCGAGTTCCTTCAGAGATCGCAACGCAACCTCGGTGGTGTATAACCTTACAGTTACAACAACCTACGCGTCTGCCGAATTCAGGAAGCGCCCACAGGTTCCACACTTTGCCATTTCACATTGAACTATGGTTAATATAAGTAGAGAGTTAAGCAAAATTGTTTATCAAATTGAAATAAATTGAATGTTTTATAAAGTTTAAGTTTGGGCCTTTTATTGTCTATGTGAGGGTAGATGCACACCTAAAAATAGTACTGATGTGTAAAATTCACTATCGGGATGTGCCGAGGTTGGTGCATAAACCTGTATGATCTTCAGCGAATACCGTTTGGTGATTTAGGTACGCGACCCTCGTCGACACGCTTTCAATCTTTACAACGTTATTGACGAGAGACTTGTGGAGGATAAATCCGACACCTCCTTGGGACAGATGGTCACCCTCCCTATGATAGAACAAGGTGCTGAATTCGAAGATAACCGTGTCATCCCCCTTCTCTTCGGACCTCTGATGACCTCTTATTTCATCTTCAGTATCTTCTCGTCAGTCGTCAGTTGCCAGGTCGAGTCGTCGTAGGTGGCAAAGGAACCTTCACCGGAGATTCTTAGCACCCTCTGCCTCACTGTTACCATGGTCACCATCGTAGTCAGGAATAGCGGGGATTGGGGGCAGTATTTTTGTGTCATTCCTCATGGGGGGATGTTTGCCATAGTTGTCACGCTTAGCGAGCGGGTTTGCAACCGCAGTTTTTTATTGTATAGTATTTGCTATCAGGACGGTGCTACTACCCATCTCCTGCCTGCCTCTCTCTGTCGCCTCTTACGACACCCACGGGAAGATATGGGGTAGTGGATATTCTCAACCGTCACTACACGGCAATCAAATATCACATATAGTAATGATTTTATAAGATGAACACACATTAGACAGACATTATCAGTATAAATAACTCGCCACATTCATCTACACTTTGACCAAAGTGGCGATGGCCTGCTTACTTTTGCATCTACTCTATTTATATGTAAATATTACTAAATATATAACTAAGCACTCAATCAGCAATAAGTTTTAGCGGCCTATTTTAATACTAACTCACTACGGCAATCGCTTGATGTATTTTTTAAAGTAATAAGTATTTTCTCTGTAAGTGATTTTTAGATCTTTTGAGAAAATAAATGTCTTAAACCATAAAGCATAAAAGTTCCATTCCCTGTAGCACCACATCAGCGCCAGAATCATCAACAACGCTGTAATCATCCAACGAGAAGCAAACCCACCCCAAGGGTAGAATGCAAAAAAGATCGCATCCCGTCCCAATCGGCTGACGTATAATGCCAAACATGGCGGCAACTTGCAGAACGCAACCGATGGGAGCATGAGTGGCACATTACTCGTGGACAATGGTCCGAGGAGCCAAGAGGTGCATCGACGGAGACCTGATATCCGTCTTGATGAGAGGTCAGCAGAAGGTCCAACAGTTTTTGAGTGACAGTAGCCTAATGGCAGGGCGCGGACCGCGAACTCAAAAAGGTCGTGGGTTCGAATCCACCATTCGACTACTGGTGTGAACCACTCGTAACACAAGCAATTTAAGCTTACCACGAGTGGTTAAGGGGAATATTAGTAATGTTTATGGCATTGTTAATATTCTTTTCTATAAAAAAAAACAGTGAAGGTACATGATCTTCCGCATCTGGGATCCACGTAGGTGAGGTAACCAGTTGTGTCAGACCATATGCCAAAGCTAAGTCATCAACAGATCTACCCGCATGATCGGTTAAACGGGAACCAAGCCATTCAACGTGGTGGGCGTTGAAATCACCAAGCATCACGATCTCTACGTATGAGACTCGTTGTAGCACGCAGTATGCAGTCATTTGGACGTGATCGATGAGTTGTTCTGTGTCGGCATTAGCGCTATTGAACCTATAAAGGCACCCATAGACGCGGGGATGTTCGTCACTGTCTACACGTAGCCATAAGATGGAAAGGTCATACCTTCAAGCTTCAAGGCTGCCGAGGCATCGAAAACAGATGTCCTCGCTGACATACACGCAAACTCCAGCCTGGGGCACAAAGGAGTGTTCTAATTTGTACCCCGAGTAAGAGAGACACGAAGTATCAGCCGGAGAAGTAACCTGTATCTCTGTTAAAAAGAGAACGGCCGGCTTCGCTGTTTCCACATAGTAGTAGACGGCGTTAAGGTTTGAATGTCTCCAGATGTTGCAGAAATTCACGGATAGCGTGGCAGAGAGCGCCTTTTTCTGATTGCTCCGTCTGCCCTGAGCAGGTATATTCTCGAGTGGAATTTCGCCCACCCTCCCCCAGAATACGCGATGCAGCGTGAGCACCCACGCTCGGAAAGACTAGGGTAGCCTTGGCGTGGATGCTCAGCTAGGGATTCTCCGTCACCTGGGGTGCTGGTACCCTCCTGGGGTAGTGTTCTGTTTAACTCCGCTACCATGTTACGAGGGGAGGGGAGGGGGGAATTGGACCTCTGGCACCTGCACTCGCCAGATGAAATGCAGAAGTAGAGCTTCTACGTTACGCTGGTCTTCTGTGAGGTCGTAGTACCACCCGGTTCGAGCCGACCCATACGTGCAACAGTTAAGGCTGCCGCGTGGCTCCACCATTGCTAAATATTTATAATTATATTATTTGCTACTAGTATCCAGTAACAGTTGTTATTTTATAATTTTTTTTTTATGTAATGTGTGATTACTGAAATAAAATAACTTCTGAGCATTTTAATCATAAGAAAAATATTCTAAGTACATTTAAGTTTAAGAAACCAAAAAAAATTAGAAATTATTGTGTTATTATTGTTTCGATGCCGAAATACCAATATTGGCAAGGAGCAGACCAATGATCTTTCAGCAAGATAATTGTCCAGCGCATTGGACTCTAAACGTGCAAGAACATTTAAATAGTTGTTTCCCAGAGAACTGGATTGGCAGAGACGGGCCTATTCCTTGGCCAGTTCAATCGTCGCATTTAATTGCTGTGGTTTTTTTGTTTAGGGACAGGCCAAGGAGCTGTGGAGTGTGTCTACACGCCTGTGGAAATATCAATAGAAATATTGTATAAGCTTTTTCATGAAAGCTTTGTTATGTTGTATTATCATAAAAAAGTTTTTTTTAATATCATAAACCACGTTTGTGCATTTCAATTAACGTGCAAAAGGATAACATCATACATGCTTAAAGTAAAAAACTTTTATTTTGAATAAGAGTATTTTTTTTATAAAAATTTATTATTTAACACATAATAATATTATGTAGACCGAAATTGAGAAACAATGTATTTTTCCTGATTTAAACTACAGTGAAATGATAAATTCAATTTTTTGAAGTAAAAAACGTTTAAATTTATGTCAAGATGTAATAATACACAGTATAGCTGAAGTGTTTTTATTTCGTTGAATTTACTGGCAAACTTAATTGGTCCACCTTTATTGCTTCTAACTAGAGACGCTAGTTTGCGCCGTGCAGAGATAGGAATACGAGGGTTAAGGGTGGAAGGTGAGAGGGGAAAGGGTTGATACAATGAGGGGGGGGGGGAGAAATGAGCGGGGCGCAAGCGGCGGTGGACCAGCAAAGTTGCCGCGGTGACCGCGCGCGCCTCCATACTCTTCTTATATAAACTAACTATATACAAAATTAGTACCCGTGTGAACATAATCAACATATAGTGAAACTATGTACAGAAAACAAGTGACAAGGTTCGCGTTTATTGCACGAGGCGGGCCGGCGTCACTGTGCGTCAGTGGCCGGCGGGGAGGCGGCAGCGGCGGCGGCGGCGGCGGCGGCGGCGGCCGGGGAGCCCGCGGACAGCCGCGCGAGCGCCTTGTACAGCGGGGAGTTGACGAAGCGCGGGTACGAGTCGCGGTGCATGAGCGTGTAGATCTGCAGCTGCGCCTCGTCGAACGTGTGCGGTGTGGGCTCCACCATGTTCCGGTTCACCGTCTCGCGGACCCGCGAGTCCAGGGACACCTAATGAGCATACAGACTCGGTTACTGATTGCCCACTGCTTTCCTTATAATTACACTGCACGTGGGATTACCTCTGCAGCTTAAACTTTAATAAAGATAAAAGGACGTGTGTGACAGCCGGAGCAGAAATAAAAGTAATTTCCAAATACTGACTAGTAACATTACGTTTGAAAAAGAAACTATTGGGAAATCATCCACCTTATTGAAAACATGTTAAATTCGAATTTGAATTGTAATTTAAGTATACGACAAAACTACAGCATATCTAATGCCAATTTGATCAAATCGATGCGGTTAATAATAATTAATAATTAAGTTAAAAAAATATATCTAATATGTAACTGGTAATAAAGTTCTTGCTAAGAACTCATACTACGATGGTATTGTACATAAATGAGCGAACAAACACTTTTAGTCTTTTTTTTTATTTTCACAAAACTCTCTTAGAAGTGCTCGTCAGTAGAACTTGTGAACAAAGTAAACAATTGAAGTAAGTGACTTTATAAATAACTAAGCGTGTGACAAACAAATAGATAAATGAAATTAAAACATTCATTTTCTTTATTGTAATTATTTAAATTTAAAAGGAAATTACTATATCTTTCTTGTTACTTTCGAATAAACAGTGAAGGAGTGTAACTGTAACTGTCAACCTCACCTACACATGGTTTGTTTAGAGTTCTACAGTGAGGTTGTAGAGTACACTGCATCTGTAGCATGAATGGGTCGCTTCGAATGCAAAAGGTCTACGCTTGCACAGAATATGAGCAAATACAAGCATAAAACAGCAGCATGATGCTGCAGTGCTACGTGTGATGATGGCAAATATCTGAAAACCCTTTTTGCTAACGAATCATTTGAAGTATTACCTTTGTTTTTCTCAGGGGCTACATCGTAACTGCATTTTAATTCTTAATTGGGAATGATGTAATATACGGGCGACAGCATCCACTTACCATCACCACCTGATGACTGTGTGCTCGTTTGTTACACTTATTCTTTTAAAAAAAATACGGTACCCCTACACGACTCCGACGGCCGTCGTCCTGTGGAGCCTTCACAGAACAGGCGATGGTTTTTTTATAGAATAATGGTAACAGGCGTGCACATTGTCCACCTGATGATACTGACAGCTGGAACAGTTTTGTACGCAAGTTGCGTTGCGTGTTGGTAGTATAGTTTTAATATTTCTAATAATAAAATTACCGCCACGTATTGCTGGGCTCGGCGTAATTTGTTTTGATAAAATTCGTACAGATATTGAACCCTTGCATTAATTTAATCATTAAAAGTTAGTTCACTATGAACAGTTAGTCTCAGTACCTTACATAGGTACACAAAAAACAGAAAAGTGAGAAAGTTGTGTTTGTACCAATAAATAAACATCGCTTGGTAAAGCTAAGAATTAACAAATTGTAAAAAGACTTAAATCACATCCATATAAAAAGAATACTGATTATTTGTGTTTACGCTCGATTGTCTTATCTCGAGCGGAGTGAAAGGACGGTTAGTGAGGTGCGGGAGGAGGAGGCTAGCTGCATAATTCTGTCTGCATCGAGCCGAGCTGTGGGAAAGTCGGCGGCGGAGCCGGGCTGCATCCGGTCCGCCGCGAGGCTGCGAGCCTCGGCAGGCGTGCGGCGCCCGCGCCGGTGCGCCGGCCAGCGTTCCCGGGTCGTTGATAACGATTTAATATAACCTAGACCGTCTCGAATTTAGTGTCTATTTTGGTCGCGTTACGTGACAGAGGACGGATCGACGCGGTGGTAGTTTGTGCTACGTTGGCCTGTGACATTGAACTTTAACCAGCCGTCCTTGAGTTGTACCGCGTGTCTCGGTTAAACGTTGTTGGACTTGATTGAATTAACTTGAAGATAATTAATTGGGCAATAAATAATAAGTGATAAACGAACATAGTTTTCCTAGAAACAGAAGTGTTCTATGGCTGCATGTCCCTTAGATGGATCCCATATTTGAAGAGAGGTGACGCCTTTGGATCTGCTGTTCTGCAACCAGCGGGGATGTCAGGTTACATATTGAACACGTACTGAACACGACTCACACACACCCACTATTCCGCCTGACTCTTCCTATGGTTAACCCTACGTCGACGAACGGTAAGTTTTGTTTGGTTCTTTGTTAACCGCTATAGGTTAATATTCCACAGGTCTTTGGACCCTCTCTTTGTTACCCGTCGAGTGGGATTCCTGATGGTCCCGAGTCCCGATCGGCTATTGTCAGGGTAGCCTGGGGTAGTAACAATTTGTATGGAACTTTCTAAAATTGTAAGTTGTGAATTCAATAGTTACTTCTTCCTTAAGCAGTCGCAATTCATTTAATGAATGGGTGACAGGGAATTTATAAAAATAGAAGAAGGTTTTAAGAGTTTTATAACAAAATATTTTTTCAATATGTGAACCGCAAGCGCTCGCTGTAAATTTTACAGTACGTGAGCAACCAGGGTTCGATCGCCGCCGGCACGAATGAAATTGTTAAGAGCAATTTTAAGTGCTGATTTACCACGTGCTGGGATGTGAAGGAGAACGTCGTGAGGAAACCTGCATGTCTGGAAAAAATTTGTAAGACATGTGAAGTCAGCCAATGAACAGAGCGGTGGACACTTCCTTGCCCTAAAACTCCCTTAGAAGTGAAAGGTGGCCTGTGCCCAGCAGTAGGACGTGTATAGACTGTGAACTTTAACTATCTAATTTTTATGCAACATAGATTACAATAATACTTATAGAAAGGTATTTTTTACACTTATCATTAGTACGGAAGAAACCTCTGTCCTGGGAAGAACCAGTTAGAAATCCAGCGGAACTTTTTTTAAATAAAATCAATTTACAATAGTGATACATTTAGAAAATATGTAAAAATTATTCCATAGAATTCATAAAAAATGTGCTTAATAGCTAAGAATTTACATATTCGAAATAAAAATATATAAGCCTCTAATAAAATTAAAATGACGTGGAGTATAATTCACTGTGAATATAATTCATTGATAGTGAAACGGGCCGGGTAACCAACTCGGATTTTCAACTGAATGTTAATAATAATTTTACTCAATCTGATCAAGAAGTTACTGTAGCTATAAACTAGAGAAAGATTTTGCTGATGTTCCTTTTTACCACAAAACCTTTAAATTCCTCTCCTAGTGTCGCCGAATTACTTAAACAGAATATAAAGGCTTGCTCAATATTTTTTAATTCAAAATATTAAAAGATATTCTTAAATATTTGTGTAAAATGCTTCTACGATACAGGAGGAATCAGTGTAGAGGTAACTATACATAAAAATAATTGTTTCTCACCTCCTTGGGAGATAAAATAGAGATATAATCCTCGTAGATGAATCGCGCCTTCTCCTCAATCGCGTCAGGGTCGGTCTCGCGCTTCAGCTCCTCGCACGCCAGCCAGAACATAATATTCTCCTCGGAGTACTCGCCGCGCAGGAAGTCGCGGAACACCTTGCGCCCGGCTGCAAGCATTAATTTACTTCTGTTCTTCTGTGCTACGTGTTTTTTAGGTTATTACAAATCACACGTTTAATTTGTGTGTGATACGCCAGTTGTTACAAATGGCGGATGTGCATGGATCTGAGATTTGTACTCTATGGTGGGGTTCTTTTGCTGACGAGGAGTGCGCCAAACCGGCTCCGCCCACTTACATATTCTTCCACTTTACGGGGCATCTACTTTTCCGGTAACATACACTTATTTTGCATGTACGTAACATTTACAGTTAAAAACATTAACAAAATCCTCAATTGCATGTTCAGATAAATGCAAATTGTCACATTAGCAGGAAGTGGCCACACTCGACTACCCACACTACTTTTTTGCGTACACATTATTGGCAAAACATAAATATTGTCTGTTTTTTACCCGACTCCCAAGGACTAAATTGCAAATTATAAACCGAAAGAAAATTAACGGATTCCGTTTTCCGGTTTCCGGGAGTCGTTGCCTCTACCTCAGCAGCCGCCGTCACTGCCTCCACCTCCGCAACCCCTGCCGCTGTCCATACCTCCGCAGGCCCTAACGCTGCCTCCTCTCAGTCGCAAGACTCTCTTTCCAAGCCAGCAACCCGCTGCGCTCCCAAGCTAGCCTAAAATCAAGTCCCGCCCCCTGCCTTTCTCAGAGACAAGTCGAAGTTTACTAAATTGTCCAAAATCCTATACGAAAAGGGATACAAATACGACTAAGCCACCAATGTCGGTGAAGCAATCAAAATTATCCCGGCGTCTATAGAAGATTTCCGCAACATCACCCGCTACTTCACGGCGGAGCGTGTGTCCTATCAAACGTACGCTCTCCCCGAAGGGAAGAAAGTTAAGGCAGTCCTTTGCGGAGTTCCCTATGAACTTGCAAACGAGGACATATTAGATGACCTCAAGTCCCAGGGTTTCTCTGTCGAGGCTGTGCACAAGATACACAGCAGCAGGGGCGAGAGGTTTAACCTCGCCCTCCTCGTACTCACCAATGTGCCGGAGGCAAAGGTTATCTTCCTCCAGGTACGCACTGTGTGCGGCCTGTCGCGTGTAAAGGTGGAAGGCCCACACAGGCGCGGTTACCCGGCGCAGTGCCACCGCTGCCAACTTTATGGGCACGCGGCGGCCAAGTGCTTAGCCCCGCCCAGGTGCGTTAAGTGCCTTGAACCCCATCACTCGAAAGAATGCCCTCGGCCTAAAAACTCTGAATCCCCACCCGCATGTCCTGTGCGGACAGACCGGCAACCCAGCCAACTTCAGGGGCTGCTCTCGCGCTTCTCGCCCTCTACTCTGAAGCAAAGCTCCTCCACAGGTCAATGACCAATCTTTTCCGGCTCTTCCAAGCCACATGCCTTGCCAGGGCTTACCCCTGTCTCAGCCCCCTCAGGGCTCATCTCAGCCCACTCAGGGCATCTATCGGCCACCGTAGGGCCCTCCTCGGCCCTTTATGGGCCTGTCTCTTTCACAGCCCTCTCCGCTCCCGATTAACCCTTGAAGCCCAAAATAAACAAACATCCCGCGGCCCTCCGCCGCCCTACAACAGGCAGACCCTATAGTCGACGATATGAACTTAGTGTATACCACTATGCGTAACGTAAACTTAGGGGAAATCACTATCTTAGCGCGCAAACTGCACGCTGCTCAGTCCCTTCAGGACGGTCTCTTTGCTCTTATTGAGCATAACAATCTTTTAAGGTCGTTGTAACAGCCGGAGCCTTCTGCTCCCGCAAAATCACACGGTCATATCAAACCAAAGGGTTTGTCGCTTGTTTCTTTTAATATCCGCGGTTTGTGAAATGAACACCCAGAGCTTAGGCTCTTTCTTCGAGATCGCGAAGCCGACCTCCTCCTCCTCCAGGAGACCCACCTCAGTTCTAAGATCCTCAAAGGCCTCTCTATCAAAAGTAATTCGCTTCTTCGAGATGACAAACCTGACCGCAAAGGCGGCGGTACTGCCATTTACTACAAAAAGTCGCTTCATTGCTCCCACATCCCCACTCTGACGCTTACCAATATAGAAGCCAGCATATGTAGAATAGCCATGTCTGGACACCAGTCTATCGTCTTAGCTTCCTGCTATATCCCTAGCGGAACCCTCCCCCTTAAGAGCGATTTCGAAGCCATCCTTGCATTAGGCAATTCAGTCATTATGTTTGGAGATTTTAACTCCAAGCATACTGAATGGACCTGCCTCACTACTACTAGTAGTGGCAAGGTGCTGCTGAATATCACTCAGTCTCTCGACCTGACTGTCTACAGCCCCCCCGCTGTCACCCACTATCCCGACAACGTTAACTACGCTCCTGACGTGCTAGACTTTGCTTTAGTTAAAGGAGTCTCCCTTAATCTGAGAGCAATCGAGACACTCGAAGATTTAGGATCCGACCACCGTCCTGTATCCCTCATTCTTGGCCATCAACCACCTCCAACTCCCTCTTCCAAAACCTACACCAGCTGGAAGGGCTGCAGGAAGTCCCTAGCCTCAGGTATGGACTCTCCGGACTCTCCCATAGCCCTCTCTTCCGACGTCCTCGACAGTACAGTGAAAATAGACACTGCGGTCGAAAACCTCACCACACTAATAAAATCCCTCAAGGAAAATGAAAGGGTTGTCCCGGTTGCTAAAACTAGTCTTCCCCTAGATATTAGCAACCTGATCAAAGCAAAAAAAGCTGCCATTCGTAGAGCCGCACGCTATCCCACTCCCGAATATAGACTTGGGGACCACCGCCTTCAACGCAAACTCCGCTACCGACTCAATGACTTTAGAGACCTCGAAAAGAGCAATCTCATGGAGAATATCTCCCCGTCTCATTCACCGTACTACCAGATGGCGAGAGCCCTCCGGATAGACGCTATCACTCATACCCCCCCCTCTCTCTCGCCCCGGCGGCTCTGTTGCCTTCGAGGACGAAGAAAAGGCTGAGTACTTCGCCGACAGCGTTGCTGCACAATGCTCTCCCAGCTCACAACCCACTAACCCCTCCTATATTCAAGAAGTGGAGGACGAGGTCCGCCGCCGGAACTCACCCTCCACCACCTCTGACCCTATCACTGTGTCCAAAGATGAGATTTCGTCAATCATCAAAGGACTAAATCCCAAAAAAGAACCGGGCGCGGGTGGCATCTCCAACCAAGCCCTCAAACGTGATCGCCTTATTGCATAATCTTCAACGCTTGCTTCAACTTCAGCTATTTTCCCACCTCTTGGAAACAGGCAACTGTCATTGGCATTCCCAAGCCAGGCAAACCTCACCACCTCCCCTCCAATATCCGTCCCATCAGCCTCCTCAAGGTCATGGGCAAACTTTTCGAGTTATTCTCGTGCGCATGAGGCGCCATCTATTTCCCACAGACGGTGACCCTCATGTCATCCCTCAACAATTTGGGTTCCTAGCCAAACACTCGTGCCCCCAGCAAGTTCACCATATTGTTTATTTTTTTAATGACATTTACAGAAAAAAACATTACAGAACAGTTCATAACTTCGCCAAACTGTAAAGACAGTTTGTTGGCGAATAAATGCACTCTTATATCCTATTACATAATTAAATTAGATAAGTACTCAACCCACGTAATATTACAAATAACTAGAAATTTAAAACATGAACACTATAAATTCCACACTCTATCAATTCCAAATACAACACCCAACCCACATAACATTGCAACAAAATAAAAATTGTAAATATAACCCGGATATATTTTTAATTGTTCATATATCTAGCATTTTATCCAAAAAATATTTCCCAAGTTTCTTTTTAATTGTTAATTTGCAATTAGGTCTATCTTGTCTTAGCCGATCTAGTTCATTAAGAAGCTTTGGCATTAAATATTTTGTACATCTTTTCCCATAGTAGTTTGTAACACTAGGCTGAAATAATTTCCCTTCTCTAACTTTCCTGGTTCTATATTTATTATCCAATTTTTCTTTATAATGGTTTTTATTAATGTTTTCCAGAACTAATAGCATGTTAACTTTGTGTTCTACCGGTAAAATTTTACAAATAGAAAATAACTTAACATAATCTTTCTTACAATTTTCTTTAACTTTTTCATTTACAAGATGTTTTGGAAATCTTGTCTGTAGATTTTTAATGTCCTTTAAATAGGAAGAAAAAGTACGACCATACACACCAAGTCCACAGGTTATGAGGCAATCCAACAAAGCATAATATAGAAGATACATAGTTTTTTTTGTTCAAGATATATTTTAAATAATAAAATTTACATAATAAAGCCGACAACCTTGCACATACATCAGATATTTGAGGTTTCCAATTAAAGTTTTTATCAATAATCAAGCCTAAATACTTAAATCTCTCAACAAATTCAATTTCTTTACATTAACAATTAATTTTATTATTATGCAAGCACTCAAAAACCTTAGCCTATAATAGCTATCTAATTCAATTTGGTCTTTTTTGCTGCAGCATTATGTGGAGAGTGTATATGCATGCATTTTGTTTTATTAAAATTTAAAATTATGCCATTATCATGGGCCCATTTTGTTATATTCTCAAAATCTATTTTTGAGAATATAACAAAATGGGTCCATGATTGATATAACAAAATGGGCCCATTATCATGGGCCCATTTTATATAACAAAATGGGCCCATTATCATGGGCCCATTTTGGGCCCATTTTCAAAATCTATTTTTGAGAATATAACAAAATGGGCCCATGATTGATATAACAAAATGGGCCCATTATCATGGGCCCATTTTATATAACAAAATGGGCCCATTATCATGGGCCCATTTTGTTATAATCTCGAAAATATGGGTACCATGGGTACCATGGGTGCTGAAAAGCACCCGAAAAGTCGGGTTTTAAAATTAATATAAATAAAACGCGATAAAATCGATAAAAGTAGTTTTAATCAATGTATAGTGTTCGCGTAAATATAAGAAATCATTATTCTCAAAATCAATTTGTATATTATTTTGCAATTCTTTTATTTCTTTAGAGGCAAATAGCAAGCACA